TTAGCCATGCCCTGACTTAGATCAGCCCAGAGGTTGTTTCAGGGTTTGATCTGTGAGTTAGCCATGCCCTGACTTATATCAGCCCAGAGGTTGTTTCAGGGTTTGATCTGTAGTGAATTAGCCGTGCCCTGACTTAGATCAGCCCAGAGGTTGTTTCAGGGTTTGTGGATAAATTGTAAGTTTGTAATCGTATGGCTAGCTGTCTCGATGTTTTAGCTTCACCAACTGACCACAACATTCTGTCTAATAATTGGACGTTTTCGTAAAATCTATAGTATTTCTTCCCACCTTTTGATGCGCTGTTAACAAGTTCCACATAAAAGCAGAGCACAAGGAATATAATCCTAGTGGCCACCATCGCAAGGCCTCTGTGTCAGCCAGCTTAAGCCTATAAAGAAAGCCAATATCATTTTCAGTGATTAGATAATCCAGGCTGCTTAAAGAAGCTTAGCAAGATTATCGATTCTTTCCTTTTTCAGGTATTGCATTCTTGTAGCGTAGCGCAAACGCATGCGATTGTTCTCTTGCGCGTGCGAGGATTTCATAAAAAAGCCATTAACTTTGTATTGGTATGTCTTAGCGGTTGTGTTGCACTGCGCTGTACTTCTAAGGCCCCGTCCACGCGTATCCGTAAATGTTTGTATCCGCAAATTATTTTTTGCGGATACGAAAATGTTTGCGTCCACGCACAGCGTATTCGAATCGTTTTCACCGTCCACACGTATCCGTTTTCGTAAAATTTGCGGATACGGACACAAAAATTTGCGAACACGTSTGGACGCAACCTGTATCCGTAAAAAAAAAATTGCGGATACAAAAATTTGCGGATACGTGTGGACGGGGCCTAAGTTTGCGCTAGATCCTGCTTGCGCGCTAATGAGTGCAAGGCACGCTGGCACGCCTGGGATGAATTTCAAAATATAATCGATCATCATCATCATCGCCATCATCACTATCATCAACATCCTCATCATCAAGTTATTATATTGAAATAATATCACACTGCACGACTAAAGACCTCTATCGACGAGAGAGAGATTCGCCCCAGTATACAATTATTTTGACTTTATTTAAGCGACCAAAACGCCAGAACATAGCTTTCATTTTCTCGAAGAGAGAACTAGCTAAAAACTAGTGTGAGCTGCGTCGGTGTTTCTAATGAAGCAGTAATGATAAAAAGGTAAATTATACACCGTGAAAAGATGAAAAAATTTTCTCGGATACGTATCTAAATTAAAACACTTATCCCAACTTGTTGACCAATCAGATTGCACGTTTTTTGACTATATTTACAGGTTATGAAGGTCGCATTCCATTTACAGGTCATTAATTTGGCTATTGATTAGTGTGGCTGCGGTTATAATGGCCTTCTATTCTATCAACAGGTATGTCGGATCAACAAGCAGGTACGTACTGGTAGGTCATAAGATTATTATCAATATTGTCTCTGTTTGATCGTCAACTGATCTTACTAAAAATCAAGGCTCAAAAGCCTCTTTATATCTCTGTGCTGATTTTGAATAAAATGCAAACAAATTAGAATGAAATTTTGTGTCAGGAATCGATAACTATGTCAACTATTATAATATTAAGCCGAGAAAAATGTTGCTCAAAAAATAGGGGTTATCCACCTTTCCAAAAACAGTTATAAACTTTCCCAAGCCCCAACGATACCGAAACCACTTAAAATTCTACGATTTGATCAGCGTAATCGTTCGCTTAGAAACAACCAAATAAGAGATTGCTTAAACTTTCGACTTTGTTATTCATTGAGCTTCAACTATAAGAGAGAATAATCTTCAATTTTCTGGTCTCATTTCTCTACATAAAAAATCAAATTGAATCGCCAAATCCTGCTATATGTTTCGATTAGCGGCTAGAATAAGGGTACTCTCTAATTATCCTCGATGTTTATATTTTGAGTTATTGCTACATTAGTCAAACAGGTTGAAGAATTGTGATAAAGACAGCGGTAATGGTATTTGGTTTGTCAAGAGAAAATAAAAACCGCTTCTAAATTTAGAGCAAAATAAAATTCATAGCTAAAAATTCCTGGTTCAATTCCGATTACAATTATAGAGTAACTTTATGATACAAGACAACTATGATTTTAATTCGAGGGATTGTTTTTCAAAAACATGAAATTTCGTGAAAGATAACAAGTGCATTGCCGAAACTTTTTCATTTGGAATTTCTTGTTTCAGTGGGTGAAAAAATAGTTGTTTTTTCATGTTAATAAATTATATTTTCCTTACCTTCATCACAGTTTCCTTCGATTGTGAGCTTTCTTTCATTTGGAGTTTTTAGTCCATTTTCCAACTCGTTTGAAAGCCGAACATTCTTTTCCAGCGACGTTCAAATTTCATATGGTCACGTGATTAACATAGATTACTAGTTCTAATGCATCATTTAAGAGGTTGACCTTAAATCACTGAGGATGGATATAAACCAGTTACTTAATTAAGATAGAGATTTAAGTCAGAAACCTCCATTTTCCGCTGGCCATGGCATCCTCTAGATTCAGTCATTTTCAAATTCTCTTTTATTACCCCTGGTATTGTCATACTCAGTTAGTTAACCAGTCTTCAGAACCAATAAACAGTGGTAACTGATGATAACTTAGGTTTATATTTAACAATTATTCGCCGAAGGCGAAGTGATTATCGGCGGTAGACTTCACCGATAATCACTGAGCCTGAGGGGAATTGTTTTAGTATAATTTTAGACTTGAATATCAGGGAAAACACGAAACTCAGTATGAAAAAAAAAAAAACGTTTTAGTATTACTTTCGATCTGGTAAACTTTGGAAATCACCGCTCGAGCATTGATTATCACTGACTCCTCGACCAATCAAAGCGCGAGAAACTCTATACTCAGGTCTAAAATCATACTATATTCTATGAATATATTGGACCACGATTGCTCGACCAATCACAGCGCGAGAAACTCTATATTCAGGTCTAAAATCATACTAAATTCTATGAAAATATTGGACCACGATTGATCGACCAATCACAGGGCGAGAAACTCTATATACCAGTCTAAGATCATACTAAATTCTATGAATATTTTGGACCACGCGAAATTATAACTATGGGCGAGGTTAAATCACTTGAAGGCATGCCTAAAATGAAGTAAGAGATATATGATAGTACTTTTTTTTTCTTTGAAATAATATCGGGATCTCTCACTAGTAGTAGCAGTACACTACAGTAATTATTAAGAGACGTAAGCTGTTATATATACGCGACTGTCGCCGTGTTTCATTGTGTTTGTTGTCTCTCCCCATCCTTGTCCTTCTCGACTTATTAGTATTTCCTTATTTATTTAAAAAGTACAAGAAACAACAGTTTTGTTAATTTCAAGAATTACAGGAAATCACTTTTTGTATTTCCACAATTTCAACGAAAAGAAAAGAGCAATCGTAGTCTCCATTTAAAGCACTTTTATAGCTTAAAATTTCCAATATTATCTTCATAGAAACCAAAAGTTAATAATTAACGCAATTCTATGATCTATGATAGGTTTTAGCAAAAGGCTTGCAAGTAAAATCTCGTTGATGTTTTAACATTATCCTTACCCCTCCCTCCACAGTAGTCAGTGTTGATCAGTGACGTCATCATAACTCTTCCGTTTGCTTGGCCATAAAGAGCAAGGCGTTCAGTTGAAAACGAATCAAATTGTTCAAAAGAGTTAAAAACTCAAACGAGAAGGATATAACTTGTGTACAGATCACCAGAAGGGTTATTTGGCTCGTGGATTATAACCGTGTTTGAGTAATACACAGAATTTAGATGAGGAGATTTGATAGTTTGAAAGGTTAGTATTCTTGAATTTGATTCATGTAATTATTCTATAGACCGGTCATTTAATGAAATATTTTACATCCTAAATCGACCTTGTCTTATTAGACAGGAACTTGTGTTTTACAAAGGTGTCTAAACATTCATAATTTGGGGTTATTTGAGGCAAGACAAGACCAAATTACAAGTGGTTATTCCTCATTAAATGTTCACCGCGAAAACTTCGCGTCGTGGCCGTCAGTCGTTTTTCGATGTTCATATTCTAAGTTCCTACACGATTCTTTCAAAATACTTCAACTTGTTGATAAAGTTTATCTTCTAGTATAAAGGAATGTCGTTTCTAAGGACTTTAGCGAATTGTTTGAACCACATTCTCTACTGAAGTATTATTTATCTTTGAAAGTATGCTTTTAAACGGTGGTTTTGTGGTATATCGTATTTGTGTGAGTCAGTCTTAGAGAATTTTTATTCCTTTGTCATGAATTATAAAAAAAAGTTTAGATTACTATACCTTGAGATCAAAATATATATTTCAAACGCTAGAATTCCATTCATTTATAATAGGCGTAAGTAAGTTTAAGACATTCACGAAGCATTCTTATATTTAAACCTGAAAGCGTCGTATCCCAGAGCTTACTATTAACTTGTTTACGTGGAATAATGATTAGAAATTTTCCCTCAATTCAGCTGATATATTCATCTAAAATTCACTCCATATTGTATTTTATTCATTCTAAGTTTCATTATTCATACTATAGCCTTCAATATGTATTATTTTATTGAAATATCATAGCTCTAGTATGTTGGATTATTTTGTAGATGAACAACGTGTGAACTATGGCATGGGATTAATCTTACGATATGCGATACTCTATACATATCGCTTCTACCGACTTCTAAATAAACCCACGACCTTATCTTACTACATTTAGGTCAATAGTTGATATGCTATTTGATTACACTGTAAGCGACTGAAGGATTTATAGCCTCCAAAGATATATCCTTGTAAACCAAATGCTGACAAGAATGGTTTTCCCGGAGCTCTGGAATGTTTGTGTTCCTATAACTAAATCATCACTTCAATCGCTTTAAGAAAATTCGTACTTCTCATTCAGCGATATATTTAAGGCACTAAGCACGTGTTCGTTTTTGCTCTGCAGGTGCGAGTTGATCAAAAGAATTTAGAATTTTCTAGTTTATTTTTATTATATCACTGATCATTCTCCTGGAATAATCATAGTTCAAACAACTCTCACTAAAACCAATTTCAGTTTAATAATCTGTTTTTAGGACGAAATATAACTATCGTTTGCTCCTCCCTCACATKTATTATTAAAGCAAAAAGTTGATAAAGGAAGAAAATATAATATGGTTTTTCGGTGCCTGGAATGTGTTGTTTTTAAGATCTTTATCAAGTTACTTTGAATCGCTCTGATGGAAAGGTTCTTTTCACGCTTCTTAGCTCTAGATTATTATAATGGCCTAATTACGAGAGGAGAAAGCATATTTTATTTGCCCTTACTTGTATCCTAAAGTTCTTCGAAATATTTCGTTTACGTTAGGAAGAATAAGCTAGCATCGAAATGGTTTTCCCTTGACACTCAAATGGTTTTTCATTAAGACGTTTCAAGCCTGGGAATGTCTCAAAATATCACCTCATTCTTACACAAAAACACGAAATTCTTTCTTTGTCTTACGAACAATAACAAAGCCCTTCATAAATTAGCTGCAAAAAAGCTTTTTTGTTTTCTTTTTGGCTCTTAAAGTTCCAATGAAATTATCTAGAAGAAATCCACGCGTTGTTGAACGTCGTTGTACGTTTGAAGTTTTAGTGAAATCGAGCACATTGACCGGAAATCGAACGCTTTCAAGGAAGACATTTCGACAACTCATTCTCCGGCTTAAATCCTGTCTTAAATTCAAATTTGATGCCCGTGTGTGGTCGAAATCAAACAATCAAAAATTGCCCTCTTTACAAACATAAACATATGCATTGTAAATATTCTTTGATTTCACTTTGACTTGCAAATTTTACACTCGTTTTAGTACTAATTACTTTGAATGTTATGGATAAGAAGTGATTACATTAGGGCACTTTTGGCGTCGGCAAACTCTGTTTCCTGATTCATGATAAGAGAGAATATGATAGGGGATTGGGAGATTAGCTTACTGTTTACTTGATGCTCATACAGAGACTTTTCTATGACATTGATAAGTTATTCCTAGTTAATCCAGGATTTTAACAAGATTTGGCAAAGACACGACTCTGTATTGTGCACCAGTCATTCTTTATATATAGAATCATGTTTCTTAAGGGGTTTCCAAATTTAGGAATGTAGTTGTCAACTGAGAATAATCCAAACTTCTCTGTGAATGATAAAGTAACATAAAACTTTGACTATTTGAATACTCCATTTTACAGTTTTGTTCGAGTGACCATGAATAATAGTTGCAAGCAGAGGCTGCAGTTTCCGTGCATAACAAAACTATATTTTTTATCATGCACGGAAACTCCAGCCTTGGCTTGGAACAGAACTATAAAATGGAGTATTCTGTTGAATGTTTGTTTCTTATTGGGAACTGTGGTTGTGATTGGTTTGCTAATATAGTATACACAGCTATAGCACATTAGAATTATTAGTAGTTATCAGAGCAATTACTCAAAAGTGGCCCATGGTTTTATATCTATAACTGTGGTTTTTCACTTGAGAATAAACAGAAAATATATGCACAAACTTGTGCAGGACATCACTTTCTGTGGAATAAGAAAGCAAGAGTTGTTTTGGACAGAAAATTTCCCATGTATTAGTCAGCACCAATATTAAAAGATCAAAGGCCATAATCCAGAAATGTAAAATGTAACTTAAAATCAGGTTTTTTCAAACATGAAGTTCTCATATATGTATATCTCTTTGTTTGTCTTGCAACTATCAAAAAAGAAAGCTTGAGCTTTGGCAATGATATTAGTGGATAAAGATAATCTGACTTTTAGACCAAGATTAAAGGTTTAACTCAAGATGTATTTGTGTTGCTGTACATTTGTAGATTGAGGAAATAGTATTAGATTACTAATAAAGCCTATAAAAAATAAAAGTGAATATACTTTTTACATTTTCTCTCCCTGTTATTCTTTACATATCAAAGACGTTAAGATCTATGGTTATTTTACAATTAAATTGTAACAAAATTTGTAATGACGTGTTCTGAAAATGAGAGGAAAGCTTAAATGTGCTCAGTATAGTAAGATGTATACTGTATATTTACTACCAAGCTCACACATCAATGGTTATTCCATGTGGAATGATATTAAGACTTAATAGTGTAAATGATATCAAGACTTAGTGTGCAAATATTTCAAGAATATGGAGTACAATTTGACTTGTGCAACGATCAGACATTGAGAAACTCCACCCTAATCACTTACTATTAATGGTATTCTTGTGGTCAAGGACTAGTATGTCGCAATTCCAATTAGTCACTTCAGTCCACACTAGCTGCTTTTTGCATCTCAGTTCCTTTCATACTGTATTACATCCAGGTAGAGACTGTTGCAGCGAAAAGTTAGAGGGTCATGTTATCTCAAACTTCCTGAAACCCAGAAAAGAAAAGGTTTGAAATACCAGGGTTTTGAGATATGCATTCAGTATATATATATTATAGCAATTTTTTGAACTTTTTTTTGAGAGTTACAAGCTGCTTGTTAGAATTTAGTTTTTCACTGCCGCAACTCTAAATTGTAAAAGGTGCGAGAGAAGAAAAAAACAAACAAATTTCAGTGTGCAGCTCAAAACTACCTAATGTAAGTGATGATATTGAAAACTGCTATATAAACCAAAAAAAATACACTAGCCAGTCACAAGCAGTTTTGAGGTCACATGACTGTTTTTTAAACTTTTTTTGAAAATCACTTTCATTATATTGAAGTGTCTAGTCGTTCTAGCACTTTTTCACTAATTGGGGACACTTTTTGCTCACGCGCACTACCACTACCTTCAATGTTCTATGCACACAATGCTCAACTCACATGTTGATTTTTACGAAGAGAGGAAACCGGAGAACCCGGAGAAAACCCTCATAGCATAGGAGAGAACAACACATCAAACAAACTCAATTCACATGTGGCGACCACAGGGCTCAAACCAGTGACCTGACCCATTGGACTTACAGCGGTGAAAGAATCATAGAATGAGTAAACAAGTAATAATGTCTATCTAGGTATAAAGTGTGGCCATGATGTGTAGATCTATACATGGAAATTATTACCAGATATCATTGCATGACATCAATTTGTTTGCTTGATATTTTCCATAGCCTGAGGGTAGAGTTCTTATAATACTCAGGAAGTGCCCCAGCAGGGGACATATTTACAACTGAAATGATGATTATCAATTTCATTAAAGATCATGAGTTGATAATGAGATAAAAAGACACTTATAATGGTCCCACCATGACTTTTACTGTCTAAGGTTATGTAATTAGCATCCTGCAGCTGTTTCAGTGTACTTTGTTAATTAACAGATGGTAGATTAGAATACACATCTTTGCACATTTGGCTTGAAGCAGTATATGGACACAAATGCCTGCGTGTAGACCATGAATGACTGGTTACCCTCCCCACTCTTAGAAAAATAATAATGTGAATGAAAAAGCCCACACAACATAGCATTATTGCCATATATTATATTTGAGCTGTTAGTCTTATTCACACTACTCTGCTACTTTTGTTTTGAAATCTAAGCCCTCAACTTTCAAGATTGCTTAGTAGTACTTGAAATAGATTAATTTTATCTAATGCTTAGCAGATTCTCTCCTCTAGCTTGTCTGAAGACCTTTGCATGTGTTGTCACCAAAAGCAAATCCAACCAGGGACCGTGGAGCTAAGAGGCTGGGAGGCTATAGCACCCTAATAATTTTCCTGCTAATTTGATTTATTTTCTAGTGATTGTGTTTTTTCTGGAATAGAGTTACAGTTCAGACTATATTTGAAAGCAATTTCTTTTAGCTGTTTTCCCCCAATCCAAATCTGCGGTTCCTGACAAAAAGGTTGGAATGGGGGGAGCTGCTAGGCCCCTCATAATTTAAAAAATATATAAATWAAATAAAATTTGAAAATATTTATGACTAATGTATAGTTAATGTAAGGAAAACATGTTACGGCTATCTTAGTCAGCAGCTGTTCTTAGTGTTGTCAAGCTGCAGGAAAGGCTAAGACACACTCTTAGCCCCTCACTCTCCAGGGGCCTTGAAAATGATATCAAGTTTTGGTCTAGTTTGATATCAACTGCATTATAAGTTCATGCATTAGGTAATGCGATATACCATCCTCTTGGAAAAACCTACTTTATTATTTTTTTTATAACTATAATCCTACTTTATTTAATTACTAGGAAGGCACTATAAATGGAAGTTCTTTTTCTTGCTTGTTGGTTGGCTTTGAGTGTGTTAAATATTCTCTTCGCATTCTCGTGATGTTAGTACCCTCATTGCTTCCTGCTTTAGAAGGGGTTTCTAGGAATGTCATTTATATCATTCGACGTCATGCTCCTTGTTCACCTTGGTTAGACCTCCAGATAAGACAAAAAGAAGGGGGTTCCGAAACACTCATAGTTCCAGGGTTAACAGGAAACCACTTGAGATCCAACAGGATAGACTTACAAACGTAGGGTCTAAGTAATTATTAGTGTTGATGTCACCTATGACAAAATTAAGGTTAAGAACAGACCATTAGATAATTAAGAGGGGGGGGGGGGGTAAATCCCCCCAAAAAAGTTGAGGAAGCACTTCACCTATGAAAAAACATCAAGCAACCTCTTCTTTCAGTAAAGAAATATTGAGCAAACAAAAAAAAATTGCTCAAAGGGGTTGATAAAAAAGTTAGTGCACCATAAATTCCTGCAACCTCCCTCCCTTAAGACAGCAAACTGATTGGATCACGTGATTTGCTTAGCAGAACTAATTATAGGATCTCGTGACTTAAATTTAAAACTCACGTAAGACACGGTACCAGGAAAAAAAATTTATTTAGAAGAAATGAAGGGCCTGTTACCATGGGAATTTAGTTTTTTTTTTGTATATTTGCATAACCAATAAATCTTAGCCGCCATACTAGGGACAAATAAAAGGTGCTATGTAAACTCTGTCGCCAGCAAAATAGTGCCGGGAGGTAAGAATAGAGAGTTTGAATTCCTTTTCGCAACTCAAAGAAAAAGTTATTCCTTAATTGCAATATAATTGACAAAAGTATTGTGTTGAATGACGTTCAGAATGACTCTCTCACGCCTGAACAAATATACTCAAAACTCTAGACTATTCTAACATTTACATATCATAAGCGAGCAGCCCTGTTTTGCCTCACGGATTATAAGTGAAGAACGTCTTAGCTGATATATTTAATGCTCATCCACTCTTATAATTTACCTTCCAAGTTGGCTTCTGTAAGTAAATTTTCAAATTGTACTAGTATTTGTACGAAGTTTTTTGTGAGATCTCTTTCAAGTTGTAATCTCAGAAATCTTGTTTTGAGATCAACTCGTTGTTTTGTGCTTGAATAATTGTCGCGGCGTCGTAACACTAGGGTTTTTATTCGATACTTGTCGTAAGTTGAGGATTAAGTGTGTTTACTTATAAATTACCTAATTTAACAGGATTAAATTGTAACCATGTTACACTGTGTAAAGCCAATAAGTCATATTTGTCTAGCGAATCGCTCGCTTCCTGACTTTCCCATGTCGATGGTGACGCCAAAATATTAAAGTCACTTTTATTCTGTGCTGCAGAGCCACGTTTTTGCCTTTATTAATGTAGAATGGTAGAATGGCATGCAATATTGAAAGTAGCTAAAGACTTTAAGTTTTTTTCTCAGACGTAGAAAGATTTTTAATTATTACCACTGCAATTGCCTCAACGTTAAAGTCGGAAGGGCATGTATATGAGGCGTTTTGTGCATGAGTGTAATTGAATTATATCAAGTCCTCCATATTCTTCTCATTCGTAATAATAAAAATCAACTCCATTTAACTACAAGGTTCTGTCCAGCTTTACAATGAAAGGCCGTTCAGTAATCGATTATTAGTACGCATGCATTCGATCATTTCTCGCGTGTTAAGGTATATTGATTACTTCAGGTAGCCATCTGTCTATACAGATAATTAAATAAGTGCAATATTTAGAAGTAAAGTTCTTAACTTTTATGTTACATTAATTATCGACTATTCTTAGGACTTTTGCTTGTTATGAAAATAAACTTGCACTTTTTAGACAAACAAAAATAAAATTTCTTCGAATTCCTGAAATTTCAGATTCTCTTAGTTTTGCCGTGATTAAATTTTGATATTGCACAACTGAATGTATCACATTTTTGAATAACCAATGAGAAGTCGTCTGTAGCTCAAAATGATCTTCTTCTAAAAATAACTATGTCAATGTCGATGGAATCCAATTTCTCTGCCTTGATTTCGTTATCTCAAGTAGTTTCTGTCTTGTTATTGTGGACTTTTGTACTACTTTTCAATTAAAAACACTTAAGTTATTCAGTTAAGTTGTGTTATGTTTTGTGGCTATCAAGGGTGTTTTTCCGGATTCCAATGTCACTTTTGCTGATATTTTTTCTTTAGGAAAAGAAAAGTTTGATGTTTTTTTTTCTTTAAAAAAAAAACCATGGAAATTTTTTTTGCGTCACGAATCGTTGTTTTGACAGAAAAAGCATTTTAATTTTCAAGCTTTTTCCAAAAACGGCAATCAAAACGGCAGCTTTCGTTTTTTCTTGTCACGTTATCCTAATTGGGTTGAGTCCAACATTGCAAAGACAAGCTACAAGCACCAGATTATCATGTCAATACTTGTCATATCAGTATGTATCACAATAGAGGTCTGATCAATATGCAAAACCTTCAAATCGTATCGATATCCTGAAACAACTTATGCGCTGATTAAATTCAGGGCACGAATAAGTCACGAAGATCGAATTGGAATTACGCTTGTTAGGTTCAGTTTCGCTGAGGGAGGAAAAATCTCGATTCAAGGGAGAGACCTATGCAAGCAAACTGTTTTCATTGCATGTGATGCCAAGTTCAGGAAAATCCCAAGACCTTTCCTGAGGTTACAGGCGAGTGTCTACAGCTACGCCACCCTAGATTCCCTAAAACCACACTAGCTCAACTCCAGAACTGTTGATGTAACAACTAACTGCTCCAAAAAGATATTTGAACAGCTGATAAAATACTCTTTGGTGCACGTTATGTTCATAATCCATGAGTCCTAATTTATGTTATTATGAATCTTTTTCAGGTTTCTTCCAGTAGACTTTAAATGAATACTTTGGTATGGTTAGTGTTTCAATCATGGAGTTCAGTTGCATTTGGGTACCTCTCTTAACCTACAATGGCAAGTAACGTAAATGTCATTCATCGATCTAATCGAGGAAGAACTGGACTTGATGTCAAAGCGAAAACAGATTCCGGATGTTTTGTTGATGATGAATTAGAAAAACAAATTCAAGGAGAAAAATCGCCGCCACGTAAAAAGGATGATTTAAAAATTGCTAAAACCAATAATCAAGATACGAATATCCTGAGATTCGGTTCTTCTAAGAAAAGTACACAACTCGAAAATTCTTCGGTGCCACAAAATGTGGTCGAAGGCGAAGAGATGAGTCGAGGGAGCGAAAGTCCCAAGAATAAGGAGATTCAAGATGATTTGCAAGGCGATATAGACTTTGAAAGATCGCTCGAAAATACCGAACCAAGAGAAGATTTCTATTGTTTGTACTATAGTGATTCGCCAAATGGAAGTTTGACAGGAAGTAAAGACAAGAGCAACTACGACCAAGAGGGTGATAACATTGGTGCAACAGCTGAAGAGCTTTTGAAGAAAATAAAAGAAGATGCTCTTAAGGGTAGTCCAAATGCCCAAGACGTTGAGGTACAAAAATTTGGGTTCGACCAACCGCCTCCTATTGCCCCTAAACCAAAGCGATCTTCCAAGCAACAAAATAACTCTAATATCAGTGGAATAGATCCTATCCTTGCCGAGTTAGAAATGCTTGGGTCGGCAGTTGGAAGAGATTTTACAAGCGTGGAGACAGATGACAGGGACGAGGGTCTGCTTTCAAATGCAGTGAAGGGACTGCATGTTGCCGAAACTCCCGAGGAATGTTTTGATAAGTTCGGTGACATTCAAACAGCATTGAACGAAAACATTCCAGATACTTTGGAGAGGAGTAAGGCAAGAAGCAAGAAAGATGCACCAAGACGAAAAAGTCTTCCAGAAGAGAATAAACCAGAAAATCCTAGTGAATCCAGAAAGGGTGAAGAAAAAGGAAGCAGTCAGAATGGCAAAATAGCTGAGTCACCAAAACTCGGAAAAACGAAATTACAGCCAAAGAAATTTTCGAGGTCAGAAATTCAATCATTGAATTCCATGAGAGAAGATTCGCATCATAAGCGTAGCCACTTGAATGCTGATAACTCTAAACCAGTTCCTACCAGATCTGAAACTTATAAACTTAACAGACCTGACGTGTCTAAGCAGTTATCAGAGAGAGGTGACTCCAACAAAGCAAACGTAAGAAAAGATCCGAAACTGACTTCTCCAAAAGTAGGAAAGCCCTCTCCCAAGAAAGCAGGATCAAAAGATGTCGCAAAGAAGCGGGAACGGCTTGAACTTCGTTCTGGTAGAAGAAGGAGAAGTGGAGACTTGACTTCTATACCTGAGAATGCTGTGATGGATGATGGGAAGGAAAGACGAAAAAGTGATGCGGCCATTCCATTAGCCAAAGGAGAAGAAGATCTTTCGTCCGAAGAGGAAGATCTCATAAATGATGAAGACACGCCTTCAGAGAGGACCATCGAGGAAAAGTTACCTCCACGGTCGTCATACCTGACACCTACGTGTAATGGAGAAACAAGTGTTGTATCTACATCTAGAACCAACTTTACCTGTTCAACAACAACATCTTCCAATACTCGTACCAATATTGAGGGAATGACTCGTTCGTTACCCTCTCAAAGAGAAGAAAAGACTGTGCCGTCAAACACGTCATTCACACCACGCCCTTTCAAGCAACCAGGTCGCTTTTACAATTATCGAGGTCGTGATCATCTTTCCGACGGATGGACTTCTGAATCCACTGCAGGTTATTCGAGCGAGTGTTCCGCTAATGATGCTGATGATGAGGGCGATAAACAAGTTGAACTTGAACTAACCGAGAACCTACAGGCGTATGACGATCCGAACGACATTGTTGACATGACTTTTGGATCACAGATGGACGACCATCCTGAAATCGAAGAACCTTATGTCTTTGGTGAAGAACCTTTTCAACAGGCAGAAAGAAATGATTTCGTTGAAGCCACGGACGCAGCTCCGATGTACTATTATCCAGAAGGATCCCAAGAGGAAATTGGAGATGGTGAATTTGCTTTTCCAAGAGTTCTTTCGATGCAAGATACGGTGGGCATTCCTGACTTGTATGAACATTACCAAAGCGAAGATGGAGCTTACCCTGGAACCAGTCATTCCGACTTGGTGTTTCCATGTGCTGATAATAACCTACGAAGGCAGACTGTTAGAAAAAGCACAAGTGAAGAGCACGTCCAACCCAGTGCTACCAAGAAACCAAACAAATTCCAGAAAGAGGAAGGTCCAGACCCAAGCGGTTTCATGACGGTTGAAGATATAAAAAGGTTGATTTTCCAAGGAGCAAAGCCCTCGATCCCAAGATCAACATCCTGTTATGGAATCTCAAGTTCTCGGAGACGATCACAAGAGCAGGAAGTATTCCAACGGCGATCCTGGTCTGGATACGGCTCGCAGCAACAGCAGGAGCCGGGTATCGATCCACTGGTAAGAAACTTTCCTCAGAAATCCCAGTCATCTCAAAGGTTACCTAAGGGACAGAAATCCCCTTACGTAAGGACAATTCAGCCACAGAGGCCAACGCCTCAGCTTGGTTACTATAGTGATACTCAGTTGAACACTGTCGATCAGGAAGAAGAAAGATTTCTAGAACCTTCTAGGTCATTCCATAGAACACCTCTTCAACGCCGAGCATATTCTTTGGAAACGTACCACTCTGATAATAGTATACCAGATGAAGTAAGTTCTCCTGTTGTACGACAGTCCGATAGATCTCACTTACTCGTCAGAAGTGCATCTGACTGTTCTGCTAATTATAGCCAAAGACAGCCTTATGGTCAACTGCAGAGCCCACCAAGTAACAGGTCACCAATGCCACAATACATTGACACTAAAGAACTGGCAAACCTCGTTTCTTCTCGTTCTTCTTATGCCAGTGGTCGAGGCAACGTCGTCACACCACCTCAGCGGCCATACATGAATCCTCATGGCGCACAATATCAGATACCACAAAGTCAACGTGGTGATACACCTTCTTTACCTCGATATTCTTCGGAAGAACTTCGCATCCAGGCTCTTCGGCGAGCTTCTCAACGAAGCAGTGACAGTGATTCTGAAGTTTCTGTCCACATTGGTCTTCCGGCGAGATCAAATGTGGACCCTCCTAGCCACCAATTGAAATTAGGTGTTGTGAACTCACCTACGCAAAAGACTCTATCCGAGAGATTTTCCGAAGTTCCTCAAAGAGTCACTTTCGAGGAGTTAGCGGAAAAGCTCAATCTTAGTTCTGATTCGTCTGAGGAAGATGAAATTGATTATGGGAGCGTGAATGGAAAGGCAGATTCTGAGTTTGGTGCTGATTTAGAGTTTGATAATGGGGATTACTTTGACGACAAGAACATGATCGTCGGTGAAGCTTTGAGACTCAAGAAAGTACTTGGTCAGTCTGTACCTGAACAAGATCCTGAATTAGAGACCCTAGTGACAGCTACCACAGATCCAAAATTACCTGAACCTCCCCAATCCGTTTACGAAGCGACATCTCCCAAGAGTTCGGTTAGGCAACCAAGTGATGCATTAGTATTTGAAAGTCCACCGCCTTACCATGAAGTAAGACGAAAGACATCAGAAACATCGGGATCAGAGTCATGCGGTATCACATTAGTATACGATGTGCCACCTCTTTATGAGTCAGAGACTGAAAGTCACCCAGAGAGTACCAAGATGAAGGAGAAACTGAGGGTAGATTTACGGGATGAAACGAAAGAACATCTTCAGTTACTTGAAAGAAGAGACTCAGAGACTCAGACGAATGGGGGACAGCAACCAACTGAAAAGGCCATCTCAGCAGAGGAACTCCTCAAATTGCTTCTGAACGCCAGTCAAGGTAATTTGGAAAAAACAAATGCACCCCCTTCTTCACAAGCTAAATCTCAGCAACTGGTTCAAAATCTTTATTTCCCAAAGCCTCAAACTAAGGCCGCAAGCACGGGGAATATCCATTCCGAAGAAAAGTTTCCTGGTCACGTTGCACAGCTCTATGGGAACTCAGATTTAAATAGTGCCAGGAGCTCCCTAAGGCGACGGCTACCAGAGCCACAGCGACCTACTTGTCATAAAAGTCAAGAATGTATAAGATACAAGCACAGGCTGAACAGACCGGTTGGTGGGGTTCTGCAAGCAAAAATGATAGGGTCTGAGGCAAACACAAAGAAACAATCGAAACGCATCTTTGAAGAGGAAGTCGATTGTATGAAGACCAAAGGCGCTTTCGGTTTTAGTTCCGGAGAGATATCTACGTCAGGCTCATCGATAGACGATGTGGAAAATAAAAAGGACAGACTAACTAGTGTCTCCTTTGTTGGTTGCGAAGATACCAAAGAGATTGAGACTTTGCCAAAAGTGAAATTTTCTTCTCAGCGAAAGAGAACAAAAGCAAGAACTGGGTATTTGTCAGATCAAGATATCCCTACTGCTGTACAAAATGGCGGCGATAAGGAGATCAGATTCAAAAGATCATCAGAGGGTTTGAATGGTGAAAATATTAGGCACATTGAGCAGGCCATGGTTCAGAAACCAAGTGAAAACAAATACCGGGACTCTAAATATGAAAAACAATCTTTACGTAAAGAAATGCCCTGCTCCGAAGACAAGGATGTTCAGAAGATCAAAGATCAAAATAGACCTGAAATCATTGACCTGAGATCTTACAATGATAAAGAAAATGAAAGCCAGGAAAGAAGCGACAATTCTGACTACGCTGTACACGAATTTCCTCATGACAATCGTCCAAGTCCAAACAGTGTTAATGTTTTCATTGACTACAACAAGAAAAATGTGATGAAGATCACTACAAGTACACCAAAGGTCCACCATGCAAAACTTGTCACTCCAACACCACAAGGGATTAGTCCCGTTTCAAATGCAACAAACTGCAAAACATCTTCTCCGCATGAGAACGGCTGTAGTTACGGCGAAGAAGAGTTCCCACCAAGGTATGAAACTAGTCCACCAATTGACCGGTCGTCGTCGGTGTATTCATCTGATGACGAAAAGTTCTTTGGAAGTAGTGACACAGTAGTGTTTGTGGACAAAACTGCTGAGAAATCTAGTGTTAAGCCAAATGTGGATAACACGACGGTTGTAGTCCAAGATCAGGGAGCTTCGTCCAGTAATGGCGATCGCAGTGCCCAGAATGATGAAGCTGCCAAAGCTCAAGAGTATTGCGAGCGTGTGGATTTCCTTCTGCAAGAAGTCAGGTCTTCACTTGACCTTGACTCTATTGGGTCGGATTTGTTGGATCAAGCCATGGAACGTGTGAAAGACAAGTTGTCGCCTCGTTCCTCCCAAAACCAGGTAATCTCACTTAGAACTCATTATCCAATAGATCCTCCATTAAGCGATCATCCTTGGGGAACTGTCAAGTGGTCGGTAAATAGAATTTGGTCGCTTAATAGAGGTCAATAGATCCTCCATTAAGCGATCATCCTTGGGGAACTGTCAAGTGGTCGGTAAATAGAATTTGGTCGCTTAATAGAGGTTCTATTATTATAATTAATGAAAGAGTAATGTTTTCAGATCGACCACGTGTCATTCTCTAGRGAATAAGATTCCTTGTTTTATAAGTTGTATCCACATTAATGAGTATTTTTGTGCGTTAAACAAAGAACTCAGGAAATGACTCGTGGTCTGAAACGAGAAAGCATTACCTCTAAGCTCTTTTTACTACGTCAGTAAGTGATTTTTCTTCGGGTTTTTTTTCACTCAAGTGGCAAGATTATCTAAACTTTAGAGATCTTTGATGGTGGCTCGTCTGGCCCTGGTTTGTTTGTTTTTTTCTTTTTTTGGCTCTCTGATAAAAGCCAGGGCACAAGTCAACACTATTTTTGGCAGTCTTCCATTAGCAAACTAGAGAATACAAGTCAGGATAATTTAAGAGAGCTCTCCATTGACTCTGCTCATGTTGGTCTCAGACGGAGATGCATTAGACACAAAATCCTTGATAACCCCACGGATAGCATTCATCCTGTATTAGTCAAGTACAAGCATTAATGGGGCAGACTTTTAATAACTTTCTGTATAACATATCCGTTACATTCTAGTGCTTTTGTCAGACAATGTAATTTTACACTGTTGACTAATCGTAATTGTTGAAGTTGGAAACGATTTGAAATGAAAGACCCTTGAGAACTCCCCTGGGCTATTTAAGGCCAACTGCTTGAGTTCGGTCTGGAAATACCACAGTGGTCGCGCCACCTTGGAGCTAGTCATTTTGTTTTTATTCTAGTTCTTTGTATAGATATGTCGATCTTGCATGCGAGCATCAAATGATGCACTTTTTATTAGAACATGAGTTTTCAACTCCATTTGATCGCATTCTTTCACTTGTCCCATTTCTTTTTAAAAACGAAATAACTGCATTTTTCTACTTTTTTGTAATGGATGAAGTAAACGAAGTGTTAACGTACAATTTTTTCTTTTGACTTTCAATTTAACTTTGACATTAGAGTGCTTTTAGTCTCACTGTTGAATAGGTGACGTCAACTATATTAGATAAGTTATTTACTATTTTAGCTGACGTCACCTAATTTTGAAACTAAGAGTAAACAGCTACTGAGATCAGGGGGAGAAACGRTGATACAAATGAATGTCTATTCACTCATTCTCTGGTAAAACGACTCCCCGGATTAGCATGCATGACCGTTATTTGGCGCGCTTTTACTATTTTAGGTGACGTCAACTAAATAGTTATCTAAGTAAGATACATTTATCTAACTATTCAACAGTGAAAGCACTCTAAAAGACATTGCATGTTTTTTTTCATATTTTGTTTCGCCATTTACTTTATCTTTGTTGTTTTTCAAAATAATGAGTTTATCAAGCTTTATATCGTTGTTGCTTTTCATATAACGTGTTTTTTTCTTCTTCTTCCTCTTCTTTTTTTTTCTCTCTTTACATTAAAGTGATATGTTTTCATTCATCTGATCTATTTTTAAGATTGTCTATATATAAAAATCCAAAAACCTTCTTCAAAACAGCCTGCGTGACCTAGCACAATGACTAGCTTTATATCACTATCATTTATCTTCATTGCCGCCATCAAGTAACATTCTATCTATCTATTTATCTTGCTCTGATAAATGTGTGCTGGGCTATATTCAGAATCGTATTTTGGGGTCTCGGCAATCAGGGGATAATCTTTCTAGAACTTTGAATATCAAATATCCACGAACTAGGTGATCAAACCTCTTACTTTGCATTGCTTGGGGAAACTACATAGAAAACGAAGGCGAATCTTCGAGGCAATTTCAGACTTTCAATGGTTAAACCTTACTTTCTGTTAAGCTATTGAAGGTTAGTCTTGAATTTTAAATTCGTACATCTTTGACAGTGCTTTAAAATGAAGTTGACTTTATTACAAATAGCCTAAAGTGGCGTATGAAAATGTACTTAACGACAACCTTTCTCTCCTGAGACGTTTTGCAGTATTGTCTATTTGATGGTAACATCTTTTTTCAGCATTCTGTTCTATCCTCTCGTCTCGGGTGATAATTTCTATTAATTTCTAAGTTGCCTTATTACGAAACACTTCAATTAGTGTAATTTAGAGTGTGTTTGTGGTTTTTTTAGGTTGTTTGTTATGACCTGACCTTATTCCGCACACCGGAGCAGTATCAATAACAATACAATACAACTAGAAGCACGTCTCCAAAATCGTACTACGACAAAGCTGAATAGAGTATCTATATCGTTATCTCTATTCAGTTTTATAAACAATTAGACAGCCAATTATAAAAGCGATGCAATTCCATCTTCTTCAACAAGAGTTCCTTTACTCTTACGATAACCATTCTTTTGCGAAGTGGGTTCTCACGAGAAAAAGATCAGTCCCAAATATGACCAAAACCAGCAAAAGAGATGATAAAATGTGGTAAACGAGATTCAATTAAAAAAACAAAAATTCCACATCACAAAGAGCTAATCGAGTGATTTATCTTATGACTATTTTTAGAAGATCTGATAGATAATAACATACGTCAATGGTTTCATATTTCATCAACACGTTATGTAGACAGATCGTAGAATGCTTGCAGTTTTGACTAACAGTCCAATATTCAGTTGCCTACTGACCATGACTTGGGTTTTGTACATGTAAAATGAAGGTTTTTTCCTTTCGTGAGAGTTTGGGTAATTAACTAAATAAATACATCAACGTTAGGAAGTATTAAGTCATTGAGGAATGGTTTTAATGGTTATCTGTCATCAAAGGTACTTCTTGCCAGCTTGCATCTTTGCAGGACTTCTGACGTGCTACTATATAACTTGTCGATCTTTGCAGAACACTTTCTGGCGTGCTATTATATACTTTATCGATAATTCACTACCTTCATTGGCATGAATTAATTTTTTATATATTTTATAATTATTGGCTGCCAAATTTAGCTGTCAACACTGTTATCGAGCCTGCGTAACGGCGCTTGAGGGGATTCGGGAAGGGGGAGGGAGAGAGAAAGCTTCTCCCTCGCCCTCCCCAATCCCCTAGAGCGCCGCTACACAGGCTAACTGCTGTGACAGTACCGTTGATATCATCCTAATGTCTTCATAAAGCGTTTAAACATTTGACTCATTATTACTATCAGTATCAGTATCAGTTCTGTTCCATTATTAACAGCAATTAGCTGGGCAATGGGGACACTATTCTATTCGAGATTAAAGTTCTTAAGAAGAAGTCCTTTGAAGGCTCCTCTTGTTAATCTTCTGGCCTAATCTTTATCAATGTTTAATAGTTTTTCGATCTTTATCCATGGATCTCTGACATATTTTTTGGTTGGTTTGATGAAAAGTAATTTTTTCGTAAGATTGGAGTTCGGCCGTCTACATGTGTGCGATATATTTTAAATATCGAACATATAAGAAATCCCGTAGTGGTGGAGTCCCAGTTATCCTTTTCAACATCAGTATTTTTGTATTTGAGTGCAAAAGTTTCTTCACCATCACTATCTGTTTATCTGTCCCAGATATTTAAATTCCTTAACATTCTCAAATGTTCAGTAGACTTCCTTTGTTCAGAGTTCTAAGTCATTGAAAACTTGTGTTTTTGTTTTCTTGAAGCTAATCTGTAGACCATATCTAGAACAAGTTGTGTATACAATATTACTACTAATATTAATATTAATAATTGACTTTATCTATAGTTGCAAATTACCATTGATAAACTTGTGGCCCTCTATGTTTAACGTCTTTTAATGAGGCCGAACCGCAATTTTATATGGCCATCCGAGCCACAACAGTATTTATAGCACATGGTAGCATGGTAAGCTATTTCTTTGTGTAAAAAAAATTTCTTACATTCTGTTTATATCAAATCTTGCAGGGCAGAGGAAGCATTACAATGGAAGCATTCGTTGCCTTACACCAAGCTGATGAACTGCAAGCGATAATAAATGAAATAAAGGTATCAAACTGTTTTTGTTTTTCTCTTTCTATTTTCTTGTTTTATTTCTTACTAATTCTTCATATTCCCAGAATTCCCCTTCTCACCAAAGAATGGAATGTTCATTCTTTTGTGCATTCGTTTTCTTTATTCTCGGGAACAGGACGACAAATCTTTTTAAAGGAATGACTGAATATTTTGATGTGAAAAATCTGGTATCATTAATTTGATGTATAAAATCATACTCTATATAACCGTACAGTGGAGTCTTGTTATCTCATAGGAGCCAGGGAAACGATTCAGAATAACAAGGGTTTGAAATATTCAGGTCATCTGGGGCAAAAATTGTTGGTAGTGTTACACTTACGCCGCCAGATAGCGGGACTCCACTGTAATAACTATCGCCATCCATACGATAACCACGACTAATATCGTTTGGCCCTTCCTCAGGACATGCCTAAACACTTGTAATTCAGATTATTGCTTTACTCCAGGGTGAACTTTGGATTCTACAGCAAGAAAACACTCTTCTTAAAGAAAAGGTTGTGTCACTTCAACATGGGGAAGCATGCAGTTCTAGTGAGTCCACAGAGGACAGTTTAACAGAGTCCGCTGAACGAATYGATTCAATAAGAAGGCAGATCGCTGCTGTTGCTGCTAGTAAAAAGAGAGGTGAATATAAAACGAAATGTCAGAGGTCCCAGTATAGATCTCTGTGGTATTCCATTTGTTTCTTTAGTTTTATTTCTTTTTTTAAACCATTTTTTCCCATCCTTTTTCCTTTACCTGATTATCTATAGCTTCTGAGTGTGAGGATACTGAGCTCATATCTGTAGACGTCTTCTTGAAAGGATTTGGATGCGCACTTGCTGTGAGACATTCCAAGGTAAGACGTCCTATTCATCATCAGAGTTGGCTATAAACGTCTTTAGCTGTAGGAACAAAAACACAAGTCGTCTGCTTCTTGTCTAATAGACCCCTTCGGCACTTTGGAATGCAGCTCAATCTGGGGGACAAAACAATAGGTTCTCATTCTTACGAGATTTGAATTCTTTTGTTTTGTTTCTAAGATCGAGATTTGACGTCCATGCAAGGAGTCTATACCTTACTCTAGTCATACTCTAGTCTTGTCCAATAGCTTACACAATATGACTACGGTTAGCTATAGAAAGGCTTTGCCACCCAATAATTTCAACGACTAAACATAGGCGCCRATAATGTATTTGACCGTCTAATGTGAATTTCTATAATATTCCAAAATTTCGCACTCGACTACTCTATGTTGTCTAGAAACTTTGAACTTTTATCTATGCTATAAAGTGCAAAGTTCCAAATGTTTGACACAGTTTTCATTGCTTTGGGCTGATCGAGACAACAGTCGCGACAAGGAAATCAGGCAATACACTGCCGTGAATAAAATAGATCGTTAGCATTCATAAAGGTACATGGGGACGGTGAAAAGGTACACGGGCGGATGGGAGACTATTCTAACGATTTGTTTTTGTCCAATTTCCCTCTAGCGGCAGTTAGCTCGATCAGCGCTCAGCAATGAAACCAATGGTAATACCTGCTCGTAAAATCCCTACTTCGTTTAACTCAAACGCCTTAGGGAGCTCCGCATCAAATCTTATGCAAATTAACCTATGTGACGTAATTGAGTCTTCGTTTTGTTTTTGTTGTTTTTTTTTGGTAGAAAATGAATGTTAAGTTGGGCACTGTCAAAGTGAGAGGAGGTACTGACTGGGGTGGAGTCTACGATGCTGCAAAAGCTACCTTTCTGGTGAGTCCACACACACAAAACTCTTATGGATATTATTCCAATATCATATCCTTGTAACTGAGCCAACTGATGGATCCTTTCTCGTACCCAGGACCATGTAAAGCGTATCGATCCCTGCTCGTGTTTAGGACTGGGTCCTACCAGTATGTACGGCGCACAGATAGGAGCCACTATGTTGACCCCAGGTTTGTATTTACTCTTGTTACATATATTTTATTCTCATACAAGAACTGTAAAACTGAAATATCTGGTTTATGCAACTTTAGGTGAAATATAGGAAAGTTTTCTCAAACTCGCACAAAAGCATGCGCATTCAATGCACACCTCTGTTGTTGATGATCACAGGCCCGTTTACGCATATTCATAGACACCATTAAAAGTTCGTGGGATTTAAAACATTGGTATTGTTATTGTTTTTTGACAGAAACTTTAAGAAGGAAAGATCCACGTGTTGAAATCTCACGAAAATGCAATTCATGTGTTATTCAGCTTAAAGGTAAGACAATATAATTACCACAGAAAAGGCTTACATCAAGAAACCTAATTACATCAATGAAAATTCTTATTATTTCTTGGTGTTTCAGATGGGATGAGTGAGACATTCGATACCCTTGTCTACGAAACTCTTATTCCACGACATGTAGTCGAGGTAAATAAATCATTTTAGCATATACCAACTTGTGTACTTCCTAAGAACGCGCGCGCTCATTGGTTAATTGGAGGTGAATATTGTACGATATTCACCTCTGAATCTCGGAATATTGAGTCGGCAACAAAATGGCATTTGCCGGCAATCGTTTTGCTACGATTTTCGATGAGGAAATTGAAAAAATGAAAGTAAATGCAATTCCTATCAATACTATGAAAAAGGCAACGAAGTATGGCCTAAAAGTTTTGCTAAAAGTTTTGTGTGAATTTGTCACGCAAACTAAAAGTTTCTGTTTGTTTGTTTTTATTGAATTATTGTATTATCTCAGTGAATATGGAGAATATTTACCTCGCCGCTCGAAGACTCGCGTCTCGGTAAATATTCCCCGATATTCACTTCGCCTTCGGCGAATAATTGCTAATTATTTAGTGTTTTCAAAGCATTATTTCAAAGCATTATTTCAAAGCATTATTTCAAAGCATTATTTCAAAGTATTATTTCAAAGTATTTTTTCATTTAAAAGTGTTATTGCTTCTCTAGTCCACTTCCAATGCCGGTAACCATGCTTTGAGATCCTTGGCATTAATCGTGTCATCGTGTCACCGTTGTATACTCATCCCAACTCGCTTTGTTTCTTTTTATTTATAGAGTTTCATTCATCAAATTCTTGAAAATCGTTTCATCGTCCTGTGTGGTGCTGCAGGTCTTGGAAAAACGTTTTTGGCAACAAAGCTTGCAGAACATTTAGCTCAAAGGTAACAACTTTGAAAACATCTGCACTTGAAATATGCTATAGTTTCGGTCAGGCATGTTATAATTTATAATCTATAATTTTGTATTACAAAATATATAAACCTCCATAAGTCTTAGGCCTAGGGCAAACGTCGAACTTTCCATGAACCGAACTCATTAAAAACAATGGATATCAGGTGATAATGAGGCGGCATTCTTTGGTGTAATTAAGTTCGGTGCATGGAAAGTTCGACGTTTGCCCTAGGCCTTAAAGTGCCCCAAATGCCTGATTACAGACCAATTTAGAACAAATCCTCAAATTGTCATAAACGCGTTTTTACAACTTTTTTTCGTTTCAAACGAATTCCTGCTTCTTTACGGCACGAAAAAGTTGGCAAAATTCTCGTGTCCACTCACTCTCGAAATTTCAGTACCGCGTTCGAGGAGCCTGAAAAATTGTATAGACTTACGTCATCGGGGTGATACACCTTTTTTTTTGTGTGGGTCAAGAGTGCTGTTTTTAAAAGTTTTAAGAAAGAAAAAGTGCCGAAATATTGAGCTTTTACATATTGTACGAGTGAATCAACTTGGAAGAATGCGCAAGTCTTTCACTTTTGGAACGTATCACCCCAATGACGTAATCGCACCAGTCCCCCGCTCGCGTGGTCCTTATATGAAAAGGCGCGTTTTCAAAACTCATTTAAAAATCAAGAATGCATCCAATTTCGAAAATTTTTTGGATTTTCGCATTTTTATGAATATATCTTCAACTTACATAAGGTCTGTATTACCTAAGGTATTAGGGGCACTTTAAACTGGCAGTCTCAGGGGGCTCTGTTTATATTCTCTCAGAAGCTCGTATACATCAGGCATATCTTGCTTACGTTCATTGATCGAATACCGCGTAGTATTGAAGATGAAATTTAATCATATGGTTTCTCGTTTGTTTGATTCAGGTTTGGATCCAAAAATGAATCCCCAGTTTTGACGCTTGCAGTTGGGCAAACGAGTCGAAAGGTAAGGAACAAAAGACGATAGACAATCCTTGTGAATGAAGGTTGGTGTCCTCTCCTCTCACCTCTGCTTTACTTATTTGTCTATTAAGGACATGTTTATTCAGAGACCGGTTTTGGTTTCCTTTGCAGGAGTTAAAGAAAACCCTTGCGGACCTCATGAAGTGTGACATCTCATCGTAAGTACCCACTATCTTGGTCATGATTTTTAACGTAACTGAGACCCCGTCCACACGTTTCCGGAATTTTCTGTATCCTTAAAATGTTTTTTGCGGATACGAAAATGTTCGCGTCCACACGCAGCGTATTGGAATCGTTTTCGAATCATTTTCACTGCCTACATGTATCCGGATATTTCTTGATCCGCCCTGATGCACGCTAGCGTCTAGTCCCTTTGACAGATAGTTTTTCTTATTGAGCATGCGCAAAATCGTGTTTACGTCAGCGTATTCGAAAATGTGCGGATTCGACCGTCCACACGTATCCGTATTCGGAGCGTATTAGAAAATTTCCACTCTGGAGACCGTTTTCGAACATTTCCGGATACGGATACAAATATTCTGGACACGTGTGGACGCAACCTGTATCCGCAAAAAAAGAGAGAAAAAATTGCGGATACACAAATTTGCGGATACGTGTGGACGAGGCCTGAGACAGAACAAAAAGGCTATGTCAACGTCAATACTTTTTTACTTTTTACCTTTTCTAGTCTATTCTAACAGCCGCGGATTCAGGGGTGGTTCCTTGGAATCCTCCTTTGTGAATGCGATCTCTACCTTTTTCTGTGCGGTGGCCATTTTAGAATCCCCAACTTCACCCCCCCCCCCCCCCCCCCCCCCCCCCCCCCCCCCCCCCCCCCCCCCACTCCCTCTTAAAATCTGCCACTGTCTGATATAGGTAGTTAGTTGAATACTTAGCTAACACTTATTTCATTGTTTTCTTTGCCTTTCTTTAGATTTCTTTCACCTATGAGTCATTTCTAAGAGCCCACTATGTCATTACGCTTTAGTGACTAAGTTGGTATTAATGTTTTTTTAATCATTATTATCTAGACCGTCGCATGGGGTTCCTGTGGTGGTTGTCTTGGACCAACTTGACTGTCTAGCTTCACTTGCAGACATCTTCGACCCCAAGCAGCTAGAGGGTAATCGTAATAGGTAAGAATAAACTTAAAATTCTTTGAGGAAATAAGTGCGATCTTACTTTCTTTAGTCTTCTTAGCAGCTGTTTAGTAGACTTTCAGGGACTGCAGAGCGAAGTTTGGATTGAGGACCGATTCTTTCAGAAATAACTTCCGAATAGAGAGTTCTCACCTGACGTCACAGCGGCCACGTTGGTGTACCAAAATTATCCTTTACCTATTTTTCGAGAATTAAACTCTATTTTTATGAAAAAACTATGCAAAAAGTTTCTATTGTTAGGTACACAAATATGGCTTCCTTGTCACGTGAGTGAAAACGCTCTATACTGATATCCAACAAACATGACAACATACATACATACACACACACGCACGCACACACACACATACATACATACATTCTATTCTTATACTCAAGCATCTTTGGACATTTTCTTTTCAAATCAGGCTCAGTTTTCATTTTATGAAATACTATGGGGCGGTTGGTGGAAGTAAAATAACTCTTGGCAACTATGTCACACACCCCATCTATCCCTATGCACCACCATTAGAATGTTAATGTTTTTTCCCTCTCTTACCAGTCCCTTTATTATTGGAGTACGTAACAAGAGCAAAAAGGGACCTTTTTCTTCCAAAGATCTTGCTGTCTACAAATACTTTAGGTAAGATGGCGTTTTTTAAAGTGACGATATTCTATGGGACCTTTTACCTTGGGCGTAACGTTTTCTCATTCCAGACCACGTGTCATCCTCTTGAGAATAAGATCCTTTAATTCAGTTGTATCCATATTCATGTGTCTTCTCATGCTCAACCATTAAACAAAGAAATGATACTCTAGGAAATGACATGTTGTCTGAAATATAAAACATTACGCCCAAGCTATAATTAGGGTCTATGGAATTGGTTCAAGTGAGGCTCAAATGAGTAAAGTGAAAGCTCTCTCATTATTTAATTCGACTGTCATAATCTGTGATCGTGTCATATGATCATGTCTTGGACCAATCGTCTTGGTCTATGCACAGTGTCA